CAGCAGTTACACCACCACGTGTTTGTCAAGTTCTTCCTATACCTCAGGAAGTTTTAGACCGACTTAAAAAACAACAACAACCAGTTGAAAACAAACCAAACTAAAATTTTTTACTGAGATGAAATGACCGAAGAAGTTGAAACGGTAGATTTGACACCACAAACAAAAAGTTCAGAACCATTGTCAAAACCTGTCAAAGAACTTACAGATGAAGAGAAAAATTCAATAATAGAAAGTGTGAGGTCTGGAAATACAAACCCTAACTACAAAGTCACTTTTCATAGAAATGGAACGGCTAGTATCTCAAAAAAGAAACAGACTCTCACAAATAAAATATTGAAGTCTGAAGGAGTTTATGAGACAACAGATGGAAAAGTTTACTTCACCGACCAACAGTTCATTATAGAACATCTCATTGACTTAGAGTCGAAATATTCTACACTTTACAACAAACACAAAAAGTTGAAAGGAAAACAAAAACAAATGGCATATGATATTTATGAAGATGTTGACGACACAACTGTTCCTGCAAGTGAGCTAAAGTCAGCAGAACCGAAAAGTGACGAAAAACCGATAGAAGAAGAAAAACCAAAAACTGAAGATAAACCAAAACCAAAGTTTGGTTTGGAGACTAAACCAAGTCAACCTTCATTAGCTGGTATGGGTTGGCGTCAAAGACTTATGGTAGCGGGCGGTTATGTTAAGTAAAGGAAAAAAACATTTTTTTATTTTATTTGAAATGTACGCTGAGTTTGTTGGAGAAGACCGTTGGGAAACTTGTTTGTTAGATGAGAAATATGAAATGGCATACCATTTAAAACAAAACATTTTTTCAAAAAAATATTTTTTTATTTTATTTGAAATGTACGCTGAGTTTGTTGGAGAAGACCGTTGGGAAACTTGTTTGTTAGATGAGAAATATGAAATTCACTGTTGTGAGTCATTTGAAGTCAGAAACAAAAAGACAAAAAGAGTTTTAAGCGAATGTGAGCGAAATGACGGATATGCTACTATGAGGATGGGTGGAAAAAACTATTTTAAACATATTGTCATTGCAACTCATTTTATACCGAACCCTAACAATTTACCTTTTGTAGACCATATAAACCATATAAGAAACGACAATAGACTTGAAAACTTGCGTTGGGTCACTCGTTCTGAAAACAATAAGAACAAAGGCAAATTTGGAGATATTGTATTCGAATTTGTCGACGAACTAGAAGATGAAACAATTGAAATTACAGACTATGGTAAGCATACGTTTGAGTTTTACTACTATAGCGAAGAACAAGACTCTTTCTACTTTTATACCGGCGTAAACTATAGGAAATTACAAGTATATTTTACTAAGGCGGGCTATGCTCATGTAAACGCTAGAGATACAGATGGAAAATGCGTTCGAATACTTCTTAACAAATTCAAGAAGCTATATGGCATACCATTTTAAAACAGTATATTTTTTTATTTTTATAAAAATGCCCCCATATAGAATGGATAGAAAATCTGCTAGAATAAAAGCAGAGTTAGAAAGATATGGCTGGAGAGTTTCGAAGAATTTTAAATATAGGAAGGGAAGACCCATAAAAGTCTATGACAAATTGTCTGGTCTTCGCTACGAAATGGACTTAAAAACAGCACGCGCCAATTATCCAAACAGACTAGAGAGGTTAGAAGAAGAGCGTCTTATGAACATGCCTTTCGATGTTAGTGAGCCTCAAGTTGAAGGACACGACGGTTTTGCCAGATTCTACTGGAAACATGACGAACAATTGTATCCTTTGAGAAGGAAAAAAGGAAAAGGTGAAGACGCACATGCTCCCATGGAAAGAACAAGATATGCATATGAAAAGTATCGTGAAGTTAGAAGTAAAATTACATCTGGTCGAACCTTTACAGTAAACTTTGACGAAGGAAAGAACAAAGAAGGCTTCATGGGTGTACTTGCTGCCATACAAGACGGAAATAAGAAAGGACACAATCTCAGACTAACCGTAACAGATTTAGATGGCCATATTTACTATGCACATGGCAATGTCACAACAGCCGCACAACTTCTTGACGCTTTCAAGACTACAAAGAGAGAACAAATGTTTGACTCCGACTCAGATATTTTGAATGCGATTGAAGGGATTGCAAGCGTGAAGTTCGAATGGTATCAACCTAACCCTCAAGCAGTCAGACAACATGCTGGATACTTCCCGTTCATAAACAAGTCTGACATTGACTTGACAAGGTATGGAATTTACAATTCACTTGAAACAATTGTCAATGAACCTTGTATTCTTACATGTCTCAGGAACTCAGGTCTTGTTACAGATGAGAAGATGAAGTATCTTGAGTCATGTGTGAAGACAAGGTACATTCTTAGAGGTCAATTGGCAAAAGTTGCACCGTTGGCAAATGTCAATATCCGAGTTAACATTCCGACTGAGAAAGGTTCTTCACATGACGACTATGTTGTTGACAAAGACTTACCATGGTTGAAGATTGTACTTGTCCACAACCACTTCATGTTGAACGAAAGTCTTACAAACCCATTGTTCGGAAGAGGTAAGTGCAACATTGTCAGAGCTGTTAACATTCTTTTCGAGAAAGGTTTGTTGGAACCAATTCCAGATGACAAGCTGACAGAAACTTTTGTACCAAAAGACGAAACAAACTTTTCATTGTTGGTAAGACCAAAAGTTGTTCCAGACAAAGTTCTAGCACAAAAGAAGTACACAGTTCCAAAAGGAGTTGGATTGTTCGGATACCAACCTGAACCAGAAGAACTTCCAATGAGGTTGCAAGAACTTCAAGATGCTATAAACAAACTTCCATTGAGACATCCAATCGACGTCAAATTGTATTGGAGAGCATCAGAGTTAGGTCAGAAGGTTTTATATGAAACAGGTTGCTTTGACGATGTTTATGAGATAACAGGAGAAGTTTCTCAGAAGATAAGAGACTCGCTTGAATTTCCAAAAACTGGACCGATTGGATGCAACAAGTTCGACTCATATGAAAAGATATACTATGTCGACCTTAACGCTGCGTACATGAAGTTTGTCCAATATATTCCGACTGGAATTCCAAACGAAGATGGTGAGTTCCCGGGAAGGAACTATACAGTTGGAAAGGTCATACAACAACTGTATGATATTAGGAAAGCTTCAAACCCCAAGCTTGCAATGACACTCAAATTGCTTATGAATTCGACATGGGGATATTCCATTAAAAAACCTCAAAAGATGAAGAGTAAACACTATGAGAAGGTCGACAACTTTGTTGAAAGGTTTTCTCCTTTTGTTTTGAAGTACGAGTTCACCGAAGGTCAAAGTGGCTTAGTAACCACATTAAAACCTATTGTCGAACATTGGTCTTACCCTCAGTTCGCAAAAGCAGTCCTTGACAACTACAACAAATTCTTCTCCGAGGTCAAATCCAAAGTTGTGGTATACTACGAGAACATCGACGCACTCATGACGAACGAAGAAGGATACAACAAACTCATTGAAATGGGAATGGTCGGTGAAAAGATGGGCTGTTTTAAGGTAGATAAGGTATTTTCCGAAGTTCATGTAATATCAAAAAGGAAATATTGGGGTATACTTGAAGACGGCACAGAAATAAAACATTGCATGAAATAAAAACATTGCATGAAATAAAACGTTTTTAAAACCATATATTTTTACATATATGAAATGCTTCAGGTTGAAAAACAAAGAACAAAAGTAGCAGATACAAAACCGTTAGACTATATCTTCACAAATGCCGGTAGGACTATATCAGATGAAGAAATTTCATCCGGGGCTTACAGGTTTGACTATCCAATTCGTTGGCTTCAAAGTCCTTCAGATGCAAAGGCAATAGGATTTAGAAGAGTTTTGTTTTCAAATAGAACGAACGCCTTCATGTTCGCAGTATATTTTCATGGTCAGTATAAAGGTTCTGATGGTCTAATAGAAAAATTTGACGAAATGAAAATCTTTACAATTCGTTCAGACGAAAGTCTTGAGAAAACTCTAAATGACTTTCAAACTCAAATAAACAAATACTACTGGGAATTTCAAGAAAAATACGACTCTTTACTAAATGGAACATACTATCTGAAACTAGAATATGACAAGATGAACTCCACCGTTTCATTTCAAAAGATTGAAATTAACCCTCCAAGAGATACAGAGTTTTTATATTGGGGAGTAGACAAACGTTCTTGGGCACAATTTCTTCGGTTACTAAACCAGAACGAACCATTACCACCAGATGGTCCATTTAAATTTATACTTCCACCAGCAGATTTGACAGTTTATAGAAACGTGTTTGACCCTCAAAATGTCATGTGTCATGCAAGTTTCAGTTCAAGCAACAACAGTTTTCTTTGTATTGGTAAGGACTTTTATGACTTTGCTTCTAAATTCTACGAACCACCTAGTAACAGTTTCTCTGACTTTCAAGTTTGGTTCACAACAAACAGTGTGCAGCATATTATTCCATTGTACTATGACTTTTATCTCGAATTGTCTTTCATATACAACTACGGAAAAGTGCTGAAAAAGTATTGAAAAATGAGTTTTGGTTAGATGGTTTTTAGGTGTGCCTATGTGCCTATGTGCCTCGGTCATTTTAACTTCTTTTAAAAAGTGTGACAACAAGACATTTTGACAACAGTCCAGGAAATAAACTTCATCGTATATGTTTTGAAGAACTGAAGTGTGCCTATGTGCCCATGTGTGCCTATGTGCCTATGTGCCTCGGTCATTTTAACTTCTTTTAAAAAGTGTGACAACACGACATTTTGACAACATCGTAGAAAACACGCAAAACTCTTGAATTTTGTATAAAAAGCAACCGTTGAATTTTGTGACGGTTGGTATATTCTTCACAAAATGCTTGTTTTGAGGTCGAGCCAAAAGTGGCTCCACCGTAGAAAACACACAAAACTCATGAATTTCCTTAAGATAAAAAATATATTTTAGTTTTTTTTTAAAAAAATATTTTTTTATTTTTATTGTAAGAACATGTTAGCAACAACAGCACCAAACTCTTTAGTCATGAACCCAACTTCAATGTTAGTAGAAATGAAAAGCTTCATTCCTTCTTCATATACTTTCGAAACAGAAATCCAGAAGATAAAGCAGGAACTTCTCCAAGGAGATTTAGACTGCACTGCAAAAGATGAAACAAATGAACAGTATCTTTATGAAATGCAGGACCTGGTGGAACATCTACCTAAACTTCCTGAAATACAACAACAAAAGCTCACTATTCAAGAATTCGATGAAATAGAAGTCAAAGCAACCGACTCAGTTGAAATTAAGAAGTTCATACGTAATGTAAACTATGAGTTTCTTGGATTTCATTGCAACCACAAAGACTGCGATATGGTATATTTCATGGACATATATAAATCTGAGGAGTTTAAGACCTACGACAACTTTGTTTCGTTAGTTGCTGAGTGTGTCTTGCAGATAAGAGGTGAGGATAGAAGAGGTAAGGTATGGAACCAACAAATAAAACCAGCAGCCTTTGAGTTAAAGAAAACCATTTACGCCTTGGTCATACTTGCAGGTAAGGTTTCAGAATATAACGCTAAAATGAACCCACAATGTTCAAAATGTAAAGCAGCAACAAGGAAATATAACTACTCCGTCAAAGAGATAGAACGTATGAGAAAAGACTATGCTGACTTAAAGAAAGAAGTAGAGAAACCAGCAGAAGATAAAATGGACATGTTGACATTTCTGAACAAAAACTATCCAACAGCTGACGATTTCCTTCTATCTGACGTCAAGAAGAAATATAAAGAAACATTCGGCATTGTTAAAAAATTCGATGTACTAAAAGAAGAAATAGAAGCCACAAAACTGTTTAAAGTCATGAACCATCACAACATATACCATGTAAAACGCTTGTGAAACTTTATGGTAGAAATCTATTTTTGTCTGATTTACGCTCATTAACGATGAAATCATGACAAAACATATACGAAGAAGTCTATTTCCTGTGTTGTTGTCAAAATGTCGTGTTGTCAGTAATTTTAAGAGAAGTTCATTTGACCTGGTGACCTGGTGACCTGGTGACCTGGTTCCACCTAAAATATATTTTTGCTGGAAAAATGACCAAATTTCATGATATAACTGTATTTTTTTGACGAAGTGAACTTTAACACTTCGTCAAAAAAATCCCTGAAATCGTGAAAAAAACTCATGAAAATCGTGAAATTTCTCTAGACCGACTTTTTTCGGTCTTGCATAAAACTCATGAAAATCGTGAAAAAATGACCAAAAATCATGATATAACTGTATTTTTTTTACGAAGTGAACTTTAACACTTCGTAAAAAAATCCCTGAAATCGTGAAAAAAACTCATGAAAATCGTGAAAAATTGCGACCCCGACTTTTACAGGGGTCACCTAAAACACATGAAAATCGTAAAAAAACTCTATGAAATCATGAATTTCCTCAAGATAGAAAAAATAAAATAACGCTAGTTTTTTTAAAATATTTTTTTTATTTTGTATGTAAGAACAGGAAATGACAAACACTGAGTTTGAAACAGTTAAAAAGATAGACAATGAGACCAAAGTGGTTAGAATTGGTGATTTAAACGTAAGATACTCAAATAAATACAAAAAATATTCTTTGTCAGACATTTTAACACTATCTGAAAAGAAAACATCCCACGACTGGGTTAGAAATGCTTCTAGTCAGAAAATTTTGACAAGAAATCCTGAGCTTTTGATATCGGTAAGATTTCATGGAACTACAGCATATCTTATAGACAAAAGTCTTATACCGATAGTTTTGTTATGGTTAGACCCAGTTGTTGGATATAATTTCATAACATATGGTTCATTCGATACGGAACGTTGCAGTGAAGGCTTACTTTACATCGTTCAGAAACCGAAGGACTTCAATACAAAGAGATATAAGATAGGAAGAACATATAATATAACTCAAAGATATGACAGTACAGTCAATAGAGTCAAGGTTGTGTTTGTTAACGATATGAGAGCTGCTGAAACAGAACTGCTTGAAAAGTTTGAGAAAATGTATGGTGCTCCCATGAAAGGTAAAGAAACGTTTGAAGTAGATGAGATAGATAGTGCTATAAAATTATTTGACGAAGTTGCTGAAAAATACATGTAAAGCGTTTATTTTTGGTCTTTTATACAAGATAGAAAATAACGCTAGTTTTTTATAAAATATTTTTTTTATTTTGTATGTAAAGACAGTAATGTCAACAACAGAGAACACAACAACTGCTATCGTTCATGAAGCCATAAGTGAAGAATATGAGTACATACAGTATAACAAACAGTTACGTCTCATTCGTTCGGTCAAAGACGATATGTACCAAATGCAAAGTATTTTGACAGCATGTTTTGCTCCAGATACTAAACATACAGACGATTGGTTCAAAAACCAAAGCACACAAGAACTTTTGAGCGAAGCACAGCGAGACCGACTTTTTTCGGGGTCGCTTAAAACTCATGAAAATCGTAAAAATTTGCCAAATGGTTTGAGAGGTTGGTATGTACATAGACTATTAGTAAATGCTGTTGCAATGTGGGCTTCGCCTCGTTATGCTTGGTATATTTACAGACTTCTTGACGAAATTCATAGACAAGAACGTGAAGAGATGGAAAAGAAACTTCAAGCAAAAGATGAAGTCATTGAAGCAAAAGACAAAAACATACAGAAAAGAATACCACGTTCGGTACCAAAAGGAAAGGAAAAGAACTATAAGTATATGATTTATACTGAAGAGATGGAAAATGAAGAAGACAGAGATATGGTTATGTTGCATTTAGTCAGAAGAAACAACAAAAGCTTTTACGACCTTGCTAAGATTTACAAATCTGACAGAAATTGGTTCTATCGCGAAAACTTACCGATTTCAATGACCCCAAATGAAGATGTGAAACAAATAGTTCAAGATACGTTACCTCAAACACACTATGATATGAAAGGTTGTACAATTCTTACCTTCAAAGAAGACTTACCGCTACTGAAGGAAAAAATAACAGAGTATTTTGACAACTTCAAACAAGCAGAGTAAATGAACCATTTATTTTTACGCTTGACTTTTTACAATTTGAACTTTGTTTGCGTAGATGTGAATTCTGAAAGAAGTATGAGGGTCTTGTATGACTTTGTACTTCTCCCATAGTTCATGTCTGTCAAACTTACCTGCCATGGACTCTTTCATAAGTTCCATGAAATCGTCTTCGGACAATCCGGGGAAAAGTACAATGTCAGTAAGTATTCTCTTTACATCCTTACTTAAACTCTTGGCTGTCTGTACACAAATGACAACAGAGATGTTAAAGTGTCTGAGCTTCTTAAGAATTCGACACATGTCTTGTTCTCTATTCTTTAACAAAGGATGAGAAGCAAAGTCATCTAAGATAAGAAGACATCTGTGAGGGTAAGTCTTCCAATCGTAAGATTGCAATTTCTTCGAAATGTATTCTATCTCTTTTCTGTTGTTTCTGAAGTGTTTCTTCTCTAATATTCTCTGCATTTCCTCATTTGGGTCTTTAAACTTCGAATTTATATACTCATTTATAGCATTGTACTTCAAAACTCTTCTTTGGTACTTCTTTATCCAATCTAACAACTCAGTATCTTTTATACATACTAGTTTTGACTTTTTTATAATATCTTTGAACGAATTGACGGTTTGGTCAAATTGACCCGAAGTACTACAAATAACAACTAACTCATAGAATGGGTTCTTCTCATCTAGTTCTTGTTGTTGTGCAGCCATTTTAAGATAAGTGAAAGTCTTACCCGACCCAGGTGGTGCAATTAGACCTGTTATACCATTCTGAGCAAATAAGAACTTGTCATGTATGGGTTTTATCTGAGCATTTTCCAACTTCCTCTTGTTCTTGTTTAAAACATTCTCAAGTTTTTTGTCAATGTCAGCAAACTTTTTTTCTAACATATTTTTAGAAAAATTAAAACTTTTATCTTTTAGAAAATGTCTAGCGATTTCGCTATCTATATTCGAGACAAGCTTTTCGACAGCAAAACATCTGTCGACCATAAAATCTTACATAGTGTAAACAAGAAAGGTGAATTTGTTCTAAAGTTCTGTTTCTGGGAATATGACAAGAACCATAAAACATTAAGCAGAGCAGTCTTAAAATTTGTCAATGACAGACTTGTTGACAGAGATGACGCCTCTTGGAGAGATGAAGTCCAACAAAACTTCTTAGAATGCAAAGAAGACACATGCGCTGTTCTTGAAGATGAAATAAGAAAACAGAATAGAAGAGCTATTAAAGGACAAAGAACTTTTACAAAAATATGGTTCTGAGAAGTTTGACAATAACTCCACCAGAAAAAAGAAGAAGAAAAGAAAGAAAGAAAAAGTAGAAGAAGAGAGAAGAACCAGAGCCAGAGAAGAGAAATTTGACATGTAAAAATAAAATTTTATTTTTAGAACATTTCTGGGTCAATGTCAATGTTCTCTTCCTCTTTAGGAGTAAACACTGGCTTAGACTCTAAAATCTTTTTACCCAATTTACCTTGAACTTCTACAACTTTAGACTCATAATATTCATAGTCGTCTGCTTTCTTTGGTTCATAAGGTATAACAAGTTTGTATGCTTTGCCTTCTTTAAGGTTTGAGAACCTTCTGTCAAAACTTTCTTTGACTGTTAACAAACCTTCTATGTCTAAGTCTTCAAATTTCGCACCATTTTTAGTCACAATAGCAAACTTAACTGGTTCGATGTTCCAAACTTTGCTGAATGAAGACTTTTCAAAATGGTAGAAGTAAACATTCAAATATGTGAATGGGTCTAGTTCTTCTTTAAGTCCTGACATGTACTTGTTTACTGAGATGAATTTCGTCATCTTTCTATCGGATAAAAAAAATATTTTTTTTAAAATTTACTCAGAAAAATTTTTCTTTGTATATACACATTCTGTATGTCTAAAAGACTTTTGACATTTGCCAAGAATGTTCGTTTAGACGCTGTCATATAACCATACTCTTGACAATATTGTTTATAACGAATCGTACAATGACCTTTCATCTAAACACTCAAAGTCAGTTTCATCTATGAACAGTTCATATACACTCTTGTTTGCTTCTAACAATGTTTGTCTCTCTTCGGTATGTGGAATTTGTCTTGGATTGAACTTAGAAATATCTAATGTCATGAAATATGAGAACAAGTGTTGTAAAAGTCAGATGTTAAAGTTTCTGCTAAGTCGTCAAAATATTCTGTATCTTGCATATGAGAATCTGACGTTCTGACAACTACATATCTTCTGTCAGAACTTTCTAACTTCATCGGAACAGCATTGTTTGAAACCATGACGAAGTTTGCAACATTTTCACAAACTCTTTGGTCTTTATATTTTCTTTCAACAACTCCAACTTTGTCTGTTATAAGACTCTTCAAAGCATCTGAGTTCAAAACTTTTGTTGTATCTATACTTTGAAGTTCGTTACATACTATAAGTTTCATATTCTCTATTGAAGAGTTAAATTTACCGCAGATGTTTTCTAAGTTTGTCATATTCGGATTCGGAATAGCCCTCTAACAGTTTGCATAAGATATCTGTAAAGAAAGTGTTCTTAACCAGTTCCTTGTTTTCCAATTATGATGAGAGCAGTTTCATTTTTAGCACTTGGATGTTGTAAGATGTTTGCAAACCAACATAAGATATACTCATAAACCTTTTCGTTTCCATTGCATATAATTTCTTTGACATGGTCTAACCAAGCTTCTATAATATTTTCTTTCCATTCTACTTGTTCGTATTTATATCCAGTGAAGATAGAATAGAAGTTTGGAGAAGGTGTATAGAACTTTATACCACGAACTGAAAAATCTTCTAACTTTGACAATAAGATATCCCAAGCATCTAACATCTTCATAACCAACTTGTACGACTTTTATTTTCTTAAGTTTCTGTCTACATTCTTGTTCTGAAACTATTGTCGCTCTTGTTTGTTAAAGACAACATCCCATTCTTTCATGACATAACATTCTGGGGCAGAGTCGACATAAATGACTAAACGTTTCAAATTCTCGACTGCTTTTTTTATAGTCTCTAAATGGACACATATTTCTGAAGGCTTGGAAGTCATAAAAATCTGAAACATCTATTCTGTACATTTTTATAAAAATAAAAAAATATTTTTTTTTATTCTTGACTTTGTTGTTGCATTTGTTCCATTTGTTGCATTTGTTGTTCTTGAGCTATTTGTTGTTGAAGTTGTTCTTGTAGTACAATACTTTCACCAGTTGCATCTTCCAATTCGAAACTTTCTGCCGTCATTGACAAATACATAGGACATAAAGTTTTACAGGAACAAAGTTTGCGTCAACTAAGGTTAAGTTTATGTTGCTAAAGTGTTTGAGTTTACTAAAGCTGAAAACTCTGCATTCGAATGAACAATAGGCAAACCAGCAGAGAAAGTGTTGTTTATACGCATGAGTATTTTTTGGTCATTAGTAGTTTCTGTCGACATTCGAATAACACTTTGAACCTAAGTTTGAAACAATATAATAAAAATAGGTGTACTTAAAGTCAATGGAACAGATAGACCTTGTATGACACCTTTTCCTGTTATAGGAAACTGTTGGTAGTAAAAACCAGATATAAGTTTTGTATTATAGCTCATATTGTTTATAGTAAACTCAGTCGGACATCCCAAACATAATGAAACCTGTCTAGTTGCAGCACATGTTACATCGTCCTTAAAGTATTAAAATAAGTCAACAAAAACCTGTTGGTGGTATATCTGAGTAAGTATCTTCAAAGAAGTATTTTTTACCATTCACAACAACAAAGTCTTCTGGTGTCAAAAGAGCAAAACAGGCTTTAGTCGTCATTGTGTTTAAGGTTAGTTTACAATATCGTCTTGAAGACTTTGTAAGTTTGTTGTTATAGAATTATATGACTCAGGGTTTTTAGTCGTAATAGTATAAACCACTAATGTCTTTCTGCCATTTACTTAGCAACTAAATTTTAATGAAATGTTGTGGTCGTCAAATATTTTTATAACGTCTGGGAAACTATATTTTAAGTTCAACGTCTCACCTCCTTTCATAACGTAATATCTTGTCAATGACATTATATGAAACACCACAGCAAGCAATGTCGGGTTCTATTTCTTTTGATGTTTATATCGTCTGCCTCTGTCAAAAAGTTTTCATAGTTTTCTTTCAAAACTTCATGAGGTGCAATGACATATGATTCACTTTTACAGGGTTGTGTTCGACCAAGTTTAACATTAGACCTAAAGCTTGACAAATCTTCTCCTGAGTTTTAAGTTTGTCTTTAGTTGTTGGTAGTCATTTCGAATATCTGCAACAGAACTTAAGTCTCTGCTAACTTCAGGATATGTTGGTTGTTCTTTTACAGGAACTATTGTTATACCATCTTCGTCTTCGTATGGTTTCCCCACTTCAACATCTCTGTCTTTGACATTGACAACAACACTTTGACTGTTTGTTTGAGTTGGTGAATTTAACTTCACATCTGCCACCGCCATTAAACCTTTTGAAACACTTACGCTTCTATTTTTCGGAAATGACATTTTACTTAGAATAAAAAGATGGACGTATTCGGATATCTCTTTGAATTGAAGCAAAACAAAGTTTACACACACAAACAATACAAATACATTGACAGAATAGTTCTTTATACAAACAATGGAAAATGTTATAGAATAGCAGTCTTTGCTGAACCAAAATATTTTCATAAAGCAAAGAAAGTTGGTATAACCGAAATGGTGAAAGTTCTTGAAGCAGACAAAATATAACAACAAAACTGACCGATATTTCTAAAGGAAAGTTTATAATACAATATTATGTCAAAACTGGCGTACTGTCAATATTTGACGGAGAGAAGTCAGTTCAAGAACAACTTACTGACCTGCTGCCAAAATCTGCTCGATGGAAGCTGTCGTTATGCCAATCTGAGGAGCCCCAGCAGGTTTCATCGAACGAATCTTCAAAAGAGCATCTTCCGTGAAAAGTGCTATTGGTTTTGTAAACTTCTTTGCTTTCAATTCATCTGGACCGTCTCTGTCACCAGTATATTGTATTTGTACAGTACCAACAGTTGAAATACCACCCATAAAGTCTTCTGAGTCAGCAAATGGAATGCCAAGCCAAAAGTTTGAACGGTCTCCATTTGTATATTGAGTTTTTTGACCTCCTGTATGAGTCCATACTTTCACATATGGCATAATAGAACTTTGCATTTCAGGGTTAATGGTTGTTGTGAAGTTGTTGTTAAAGTTCATAGCATCTAATGTCAAGTTGTATGACCTCATATCTTCAACTGTAGAATATTCTTCTCTTGGATAATATTTGCCATCTATGTTTATATGATATTTAATACCAGGGTTGTAGAAACAAGAATAGTCATTTATAGTTCGTCTGAACAGTACAAACATAGTATCTGCATGTTTCATTGCAGTTGTTAAGGCAATATCTGTTCTTGCACCTGGGTCAGCACTTTGGTTTCCAACTTCACCTGCAAAGTCTTTGACAGATATTTGGTGTATAGGGAACATAAGTGGAACTGCAATATATTTGGCAGCTAAAGCATTTGAAATATCTGGGTCCAACATATAAACGGCAAGTCTGCTTTCTATTCTCTTGCATTCAAATTTTTCGCATGTGAACTTAACTGGGTCCCAAGCAGTTCCAGCAGCATTGAAATAATAGTTTACTTCAGTGTTGAAGTTTGAGAAACCAAAGTCTAAGTCAACTTTGTCTTTGCAAAAGTCACAGAACTTGGTCCACCAGTTCCAGTTACAGTAATAGTGAATGGGTCTTGTGTTGGTGCAATGACTAAGTTATTTTTGCTTGGAGTAAGTTCGATAGAAATTTTTCCTGCCCAGTTTGGCAAGTATCTTAAAAACCTGAAGATGAGGAAAGATGACAAAGGAACTCTAAGTTTCAGTTTTACTTTAGTGGCAGCAGTCCATCTGAACCAGAAAGGTTAACATAAACTCCTGGAACGTTAGGGTCAAGTCTTCTTATTTTCTCAATAGTTGCATACTGGTCTGTTTGTTCTCTAGCTTGTGGTTGTACTGAGTTTCTCAAAGCGAACCATTCATAGTTTGCCCATGTTACTGTTTGAACTAAGTCAGAGTTAGAATATATCTTATATCCCATGAAAACTTCTGGAGCATATTGGTATCCGACATAGAAAATTCCATTGCAACCTTTCTTGTCAGACAACTTGGCAGAAGGTTTTATTTCAATGTCTTGTTCCACTATAAGAATGAGTTGTCAATAGAAATAATATGAAACCTGTCGCATGCAATATCTACTGTTGTTGAAGAACCTTCACCAAACTCACTACATTTCCATAAGAAACAGCAGTTGTATATTCGTAAGTTCCAGGAACTATTTCTGACCTTCTAATGGCATTGTCGCATTCGTTATACCATTCGGAAACATTTCCGTTCATGGCATCCAAAACTGTTGGCGTTATATTCTGAGCGGCGTACATTTCATATGGGTAAAAATATAGAATAGTTGGATTTATGTGTCATAATAGAACCCACGTGGACCAAGCTTTACTTTCTTCCTGGCTGAGTTTTTAACTCTTCTTTTTCCTTCATTGCCACTACTTTCACTAGATGAAGTTACTTCTTCACTACTTTCACTTTGTTCTACTCTTCTCTTCTTCTTTGGTGTCGCTTTTGGTAACTTGCCCTCTGCTTCAAGTTGTTGCATCTTTGCCTCATGTTCACCTAGTATGTTGTAAATTTCCCATGTCCTTTTTGCCTTTGGGCTCTGGTCGCCATCTCAGGTAACCTATATCCTAGAAAGATTTTGTCATAGTTTGTATTTGAGTCTTCGCGTATTGTTTGCATGACTCTTTCCTGAGTTTCCGGTTCAAGCTCTTCAAATATAGCTTGTCCATATGGAATAAGCTCGTTTCCAAATATATGTTTTTGTAGCCATTCTGGTTTTCTTTCCATGTTACCAATAATATCTTTTGTGAATGGGAAAGCTTTTACCCAATGTTTCAGTCTTGCGTCATTTATTTCTGTAGTTGGTTTTATTTTGTCAAGGAACATGTTTTTCAATACTAACATTTCATTTGGTACTGTCCATTTGAGTTTTCTTAAATATTCATCCCTTCTCGGTTCATTGTCTGCAAAGTAAGTTTTTATGACATTTTGTAAACTTTCGTTTGCAAGGTCATGTACAATAGGTTCTCTTCCTTCTTCTCCCTAACTTTCTTTCTAAACTCTTCACCAAATATACCATCTCTATGGTTCTGTGTAGTTCTTTGAGATAAATGTTCTAGAACGTCAGGTGTTATATTTCCATCAGCCATGTTCATTTCATACTGGTCCAAAATATCTGCATCTTTCATATCTTTCAATGGCATTAAAGCCGCGCTGAAAATACCAGCTATATCTGGTTCACCATTCACTTCCATTGCGTCTACAACTTCTTGGAATTGTGGTTGTAAGTTTATGAACCACCTATCCGGGTTAGCTTTATGACCCCATCTCATTGTAGTTCCATAGTCTGCAGAAACAAAAGTAGGTTTGTTTCCATATTGGTTAGGTTCTGAATGAACTTTAAACAATGTTTCATTTCTATATGTTTTGTTGAAATTTAACCTTTTATTTTCACCGAGTTCAGCCAAAGATTGAACGTTATATGGTCGTAAGTAAAAAGGGTTGTTGTATTTGCGTACATTTTCTTTCAGTACTTCCATTCTATGCTGAATATTTTCATCTGGTGTTGGAGTCTTTTGTATGTCGGCAAACATTTTTCGATATTCTTCTACCATGTCAGCCGAATTTTTCTTAGACTCTTGGAAAGATTCCATATTCACCTCATACTCTTGTTGAGGGTCAAGATTTTTCGGCTGTTCCAAATCTTCATCTAGTTCTGTGAAGTTAGTTTCCAAAGGAGGGACTTGTTCGTTTCCTTCAGGCTCTTCTAGCTGTTGTTGCTGAACTATTTCTTCCATGTCTGGTTGTATCTGAACTTCTTCCTGTGGAGTTTCTTGTACCTCATCTGCTGGCATTTCATATATTCCGAGACCGTTTTTAACAAGTTCCCTATCTAAGTCATCCGGACTCATAAACCTTTCTTCTTTCGTTCCGTCTCTATTTTTTACGCGTTTCATGAAGAGAGTTGAAATATCATTTAGCTCTGACACCAAATATCTCGGAGTAAATTCAGTCATGTCATTTGGATGATATGCTATTAAATCATATTCCTTAGCGAGTTTGTATTTTCCAGGTTTGAAATTATATCCCATTTGGTGCTGAGCCATAAAGCTAAATAGGTTCGGGTCAGTATTTCCTTCCTTGAACTTTCTAATAGCTTCTTTATATCTGTCACTAAAGTCAAGAGTATCTGGGTAACCATAATCTTCCTTAAGCATTTTTAAGAATTCTTGGTTTCCTTGTTCTCTACTTCTTTTATGTCCTTGCTCTGTTTGTGGTTGTTGTTGTGCAGGGTTTTGAACTGTTGGTTGCTGTGCTGGTTGTTGTTGTTGTGCTGGATTTTGAACTGTTGGTTGTTGTTGTTGTGCTGGATTTTGAACTGTTGGTTGTTGTGTTGGATTTTGAACTGTTGGTTGTTGTGTTGGTTTTGGTGCATGCCTGTGTCTGTGTCCATGTGACGATGTAAATGTTTTAGGTAGTCCTGGTGCAGGTGCTTCTCTTGGAGGGTTTGGTGGTATATAAGTTCCACTAGCTAGTATATAAGTTCCACCAGCTGGCACATATGTTCCATCTGCAGCATAATGTCCTACCTGACTTTTCGTTTTTAAGAAAGCATTTACTAGGTCTGTTTTGGTCTGTTGTAACTCTTTTTCTTGACTTTCCACAACAGTTGCTCTAACGGCGTCATAGGCACTTTGAACTGCCTGTCTCGTTGCTGCATCTGTTATTTTCGTCATATTTTGTGCTACTTCTCTTAACTCTTTGTCGAAACCTTCAGACTTCAGTTTCTTTCCAGATGAGAAGTCGTTCACTAGTTTCACCTTACTATGAAGAGCTTCGAAGGCGTTCTTAAAGTCAGCATTCATTAAAGCTTCATTTGAACTGTCTTCATCCGCTTGTATTTTTGTCCTTATTGACCCTATAAGTTGGGCTGCTTTAGCGTTGGCTTGGGCATCTAACCAGTCATTATTAGCTTTTATATATTCTGCGCTTTTCATTGCCTTTTGCATGGCTGCGTCGTTATTTTTACTTTCTTGTGCTAAGTTTTCATACTGTACGGTTTGGTTTTGCAACTGTAAAAGTTTTTCTGCCTTTACATTTGCTTCAACTTCTTTTTTATACTCATCGCTATCCATATATGTCTTCAGGGCTTTTTGTTTTATTTCTTCATCTTTCAGTACTTTATATTGAGTAGTATGGTTTTTCAAATTTATAACATCTTGTTCCATTTTTGCTACTTCTGCTGCTTTTTCTGACACTTTTTTCGCATATTCCTCTGTACTTAGTTCTTTCAGTTGTTCTTCTTTCTTCTTTTTCTCTACGTTTAACTCATTGAGTTTCTTTGTGTGTCTGTCATATTCTAGTTTCTTTTCGTTTTCACTTATTTGTTTCTGTATGTCTATGTTTGACTTTTTGACATCTGTTATTTGATTTTTGAGTGAACTCAAATTCATTTGACTTTGAGGGTTATAAGCTGTTCCGTCTGCAGCTCCACCATAGCCTGCCATTTTCGCTAAAAGTGCCGCTCTTAAACCTCCACTCTGTGCACCAATAACTCGGTTTAAGAGCATAGGGTTGCTTGACATTTGTTGCAACATAGTGGGGTCATTCATCATTTGTTGTTGCAACTGTTGTTGTGGTGTCAGTTTTACTATTGGATGTTTCAATGCTCCTTCCTCTTACGTATATTCTTACGTAGCTTACGTGGCATTTTAAGTGAAGTAAAAAACGGTTTTTGACAGATGTTTATATGACACTTTTTGTTCAGCTCAAAAAACTACTCGGTCAAAGTGTTGTCAGTTTTGTAAAATAACCGTCCTATCTCATTCTATAAGGGGGAAAGGCTTCTCAAAGTATACTTCCTTAGAACGCCTGTAACTTTTCCTGTAGCGACGATAGACCCTTACTTGTCAGGACAAAGTTATACTATTTTGAGTGCTCTACAAAAAAGTCAACGGCGACGACTCTCAAAAACCGTTGTGCAAAAAGTTTTACCGTTGGACAAAAAAGTATATATAGAAAACAAAAAACGTTTATAGTTCATTCAATATTTGAGATGGAACGGTTTGCCAACGGAGACTTTCAATAAAATAAAAAAATAGAGGGGGTTACCGTTGACGAAAACGGTTTATTTTAAACTTTTCTATGAGTAGTCCGAAAAAAACAGTTTATTTTTCATAATGGAAGGAAGAAAAAGTGTCGCAAACAATTCGTCGACTACCTCTGCAGTTAAAGTTCCTACAACTTATGTCTCACCATTCTCAAAACCCTTACGACCTCCTATAATACCAAAGCAACTTCCTCATACAATTCAAGACAATTTGTTGGACAATATGCATTTGCACAAAGAAACAGCTCAGCCAACAGGTCAGGCAACAACAACTATCGGAACAGAAGCATTTTCAGAAGAAGTTCATACCAATCAGACTCCAATCGAACATACAGAAACACAACCACCCGAAAATACAGAAACACATCCAATCGAACATACAGAAACACATTCTGCAATGACCACTAGGTCGCAAACACGATATCTCGCCTTTTGCAAACAATTTAAGTCTCAAATTCAAGACACACAAGATAGCGACACTCCTCTTTCAGAGAAAGTTCGTAGAAAATACGCAAAGAAAAGGTTAGAATTGTTAGATAAGTTAAATGAACAGTGGGGTTCAGAAGACAATCGAGATTATAACGAGATGTTTCAAGCTGTCATGGATGCCATTCAGCCTCTTGAAAACGAAATAAAAGACCCTGGCGTACTTGTTGACATGTTTGCTTCATATTTACCCGTTACTGCCAATCTCATAGCGTTGCAAGCTATTGACCAGTTCATTCACTTGTTTCCAAAGAACTTGCAGAAGCATTTACAAGAAGTTAAAGTTGCTGAATTTGTCCGTTTATATCCAAATTCATACAATTATTTGGAAGAATTGAATGAACATGGTGAAAGGTCATTCTATTTATATTTCTACACAAAAGACAACCAGTCAAAACGACTATACTGCATTGAACCTATGCCTCAATTCGTAGACAATTTCCACGTTATAACAACTGTTGCTTTAGATATTCCTGCCAGAGTTCCATATGGAGGAACAGTAACTATCTCAAGCTTTCCCAAGGGCTATAAAGGAAAGCCTCTCACAATTGCAAAATTCACACACAGCAGTTGCCAATTTGTTCAAGATGTCGAGTTCCATTTCCTCAACAATACGACTTTCATCATAGAGACTCCTCAAGAAGGTATATACAAAGTTTTCATTGCAGGATTTGTTGCTCCCAATGGCGAAGAAGAAGAAGTCGAAGAAATTCTCACCTCAGAGAGCGAAGAAGAAGAAGTCGAAGAAATCCTCACCTCAGAGAGCGAAGAAGAAGAAAATTTCCAAGACATTCAAGATTCAGAATATACCGAATAAAAAAACAATTTAAGACTAAAAATTTAATTTTATTATAATATTTTTATTTTTTTCATCTGGTCTTTGTATCATTCCTCCTCTAGTTTCTTAGGGGCTAGAGGGCGCAACGCGCCTGGAAGCCCCACTACTTTTTTTTTTTTTTAAGAAATGAGTGAATCAAAATTCGTGACTGTGAATCAATTAATGGATAAACTTTCACCAATTCTCACCCAGGTTAAACAAGTAGACGTTTATTTTGATGATTGCGTACAAAGTTTATTTTATAAAGGTAAGTTTAATATTAAACCTATTGCTTTTGCATTTGATGGTAAATTAATCGAAAATTCAAAAATTTGGGAATTAATTCCGGATATTGAATTTATAACAAATATTAAGGATAAATGGTTTAAACAACAAAACCACCTCACTAAAGTTCTTTGTAGATTAATGATTAAAACTGAGGAAAAAGAATTTAACGGGTTTAAATATCATCCATGTAAAATTTTAGAACTTGGTAACGAAAAACTTCAGAAAAAATTAAACGAAAGACTATCAAAAGATAAAGTTGAAAGAGTAAATAAACTCGCTAAAGGTAATGGTAATGATGAAGAAGAATTTGATGAGTTCAACATTGAACTTTAAGAAACTAATGATTATTTGAATTTATGAAATCAATTATTTGATTCATTCTTTCTTCAATCTCTTCTATTCTTTTGTTAAATCATTAATTTTCATTAATGAGGTGATTCTTGATTGAGGAATAGATTTCAAACTAACCACTCCTTTTATTTTTGAAATTTTGAATCCATCAACTTTAAACATTTTATTCAATTTACATGTTGTCAATTCTTCAAATATTTTTTTATTATTAGCATAATAGTCATTAAATTCTTCAACAGATGAAAAAATTTTTATTTCAGTAATTGGTTTAACAACGTTTATTTTTTGAACATTTTCACTTTCATTTATTTCTTCCTCCTCTGTTTCATTTATTTTTAAAATCGGTTTCATTTATCATTAAATAAAAATTAGAATATAAGTGATGAAAATATATTTTTTAATTAATATTAAATCAGAAATGGCGGCAGGATTCTTTAAAAAATTATCAAAAGTTTGACGGTTTAATAATCTTTTTATGAACCCACCTCAGCTTGCTCATTCCATCCCAG